TCAAAGAGTGTTTCAAGGTAACATGATTTGAGTCTGCCAAGGATGCCAAAATAGGCGTTTGAGTTTGTATACATCAAAGAGCCCAGAGTTCTTCAGGTAAAGGCTAGAGCAGCGGTTCTCAACATGTGGGTCGCAACCCCTTTGGGGGTCGAACGACCCTTTCACAGAGGTCACCTAAGACCATAGGAAAACACATAAATATTTCACAATACATAATTACATATTATTTTGTGATTAATCACCATGCTTTCATTATGTTCAATTTGTAACAATGAAAATATATCCTGCATATCAGATATTTACATTGATTCATAACAGTAGCAAAATTACAGTTATGAAGTAGCAACGAAAATAACTTTATGGTTGGGGGTCACCACAATCTGAGGAACTGTACGAAAGGGTCACAGCATTAGGAAGGTTGAGAACCACTGCCTTATAGAATCCTTCAAGATTTCAACTTGAGGCTTGAATTATTTCAGTTTCAGATATGCTGTGTGTTCTTCCCTTTTGGTTTTTGAATTTCATCTCAATGAAATGTGCACAAGATTATGGATAGCAATAATAACCTAAAATGGCAAATCCAGAGTCCTCACACAGATTAAGCCTCCACTGAATTCTTTCTGATCATTAACTAAGAATGTAGCTAATCAAGCCCTCAGCAGAGTGCTGTGGACAATAGAACACCTCAACCTTCTCAAAGGATGTCCCAAGCATGGGGCAGAGTCTCTTTTAGGGGCTTACCTGAGTTGGAGGTCACCCTACTAGACAGTACAGGGGGTGGCATAGTCCTGAGTCATGCTCTGTTAATCTCACCCTTACTGCCTTGGTCAAAAGGTCCTGGATCAATTTTACAAGCCCTTGTATCTAATAATTTATGTGTCCCAATCATGGTCATGGTCCCACCTGAAATTGTGATATATTGATTTTCCATCAATCATGCTTTTCTGACAGTTTTTTCTGCCCTCCCATGACCTTTCAAAAGCTTTGTATCTCAACAAACTCTTGGATGTCATTTTAATCTTGTGCTAATGTCTCCCTCATCCAGATGATGTATCTGTGTCTTTGTGGTATCTTTGTCTCTTTTAAGACTTAATAAAAATTCTCCTTAAATTATATTTAGAAGGGGTCTCTTTTGTACCTTAAAACAGTCTATAAGGTTTTCATTAATTGATCGTCAGAAGTAGATTGCTTTTGTTTCTAGCATGTCTGAGTTCAGATGAAAGCTGTTTAGAAACATGGCAGCACTCTAGCTTCCAGTGATGGAGCAGTGATAGCTGCATGTAAGTCTGTATAAGCTGAGAATCTAAACTAGCTCTGATGCGTGCTGTTAGTTGTTATTACTGTTTCCCCAAAAGTAAGACATCCCCCGAAAATAAGACCTTCCTGAAAATACGGACCCCGAAGCTACCTTGACTCTGGACTCCGGACAATAGCGGCGGCATCCGCTGCACAGTTGTTGGCCGCAGTGCAGCTAGACCAAATAGGAAGTGCAAGGTCTCTTTTAATAAACAATAAATGTGTACCGTGTTCTTCTTCATGGAAAAATAAGATATCCCCTGAAAATAAGACCTAGCGCATCTTTGGGAGCAAAAATTAATATAAGAGACTGTCTTATTTTCGGGGAAACAGGGTAGGTGCCATCAGTTGGTTCCACTCAGAGTGACCCTACAGCAAAAGGAAACACTGTCTGGTCCTGCGCCATGCCCACAACTGTTCTTATGTTTCAGGCCATTGTTGCAGCCATTGTGTCAATCGAAAGCCTTCCTCTTTTTTTGCCGACCCTACACTTTAAAAGCATGATGTTCTTCTCCATGAATTGGTCTCTCCTTCTAATATGTCCCAAGTATGTGAGAAGAAGTCTCCCATCCTGGCCGTTCAAGGCTGTCCTCCTTCCAAAACAGATGTTTATTCTTTCGGCAGTCCATGGTACTTCGCTAACACCATAGTTCAGAGATCTCACGAATGGGAGATGCGAATTCTATCACTGAACTGGAACTCCAAGGCCAAAAGAAATACCTCCTCATTGCCTCACGTGCCTCGCCCTTCACGGGACACGAGTCCTCCGGAGGGTCAGCCTCCGAGTGCGCGGGCGGCTCCGCCCCGTGCGCCCCGCCCACCGGGT